TGTTTCTGTGATAGGTCACTGAGTATGATAGACTCTAAATCCATCCAAGTTGCTGCAAAGTCCATATGTTTGTCCTTCTTTATGGCTGCATAATATTCCATTGTGTATATGTACCCCATTTTTTTATCCAGTCCGGCTTCAACAGGCAGCATGGTTGGTTCCATGTTTTTGCTATTCGTCATCACATTTTCTTTACACAATTATCTGTTGTGAGCATTTCGTTTGATTCCATTTATTTGCTAGTGTGAATACTGCTATGATAAAAATACAAGTAAGGTGTCTTTTTCATTTATTTTCCTTTGTGTAGATACACGATAGTAGGATTCCTAAATTAAAAGGTAGTTCTATTTTTAGTTATTTGAGAAATCTCCATACTGCATTCCATAGAAGTTATAATAATTTGCATTCTCACCAATAGTATGTGTTCCCTTTTCACTGCATCCTTGCCAACATACTATTTTTTCATTTTTAAATAATAGCTATTATGACTGGTATAAATTAGTATCTCATTGTTTTAAATTGCATTTTTCTGATAATTAGAGATGTTGAGAGTTATTCATATGTTTGGCCATTTGTATGTCTTCTTTTGAAAAACGTCCTTTGTTCACTTTTTAATGTGGCTATTTGGGTTTTGTTGTTGTTGTTGTTGTTGTTGAGATTCTTTTATATTCTGTATATTACTCCCTTGTTGGATGGGTAATTTGGAAATACTTTCTTCTTTTCTACAGGTTTTCTGTAGAATAAAAGAAAATATCTTTTTTTATTTCTTTTATTATACAACAATGTTGTTTGTTGCTTACTCTTGATTATTTATTTTACTGTGCAGAAGCTTTCTAGTGAAATTAAGTCTATTTTTGATTTTGTTGCTTTTGCCTTTGTGGTTTTAGTCATGAATTATTTGCCTAGGCCAATGTCCATAAGAGGTTTTCCTAGTTTTTTTTCTGGTATTTGTAGTTTCAGATCTTAAATTTAAGATTTTAATCTATATTGAGATAAATTTTATATATAATGAGAGAGTCTAGTTTCATTCTTCTGCATATGACCATCCTATTTTTCCAGCACCACTTACAAAAGAGAGTGTCCTTTCTCCAGTGCATGTTTATATGTGGCTGTATATCTGAGCTCTCTATCCTGTCCATTGATCTATGTGTCTAATACCAGCACCATGCTGTTTCTATAACCTTGTAGAGTAATTTGAAATCAGGTATAATAAATGCAAGGTGCTTATCAAAACTAAGATCTCACAAGGGGTGGGGCATGTAACAACACAAAGTGTGTCTGATCTTAAATCAGGGGAAGTGAGGGACCAGTTGGAGACCCAAACTTCACTTGCACATACATTACTTATGTACTTAATCCTGATTTGTACTCCACATCTTTATAATCAAATAAAGTTTTAAAAAAACCCTTAGATCTCAGAAATGTTTCCGTCCCTGATTTCTTTCTTCCTTTCACTCATTTTTATATGAATAATCTGTTCTACATTCTAAAATTCATTTCATGATCTAAAATATCTGTTTTTCACATTTTTTTGTCATCTGAGACCCAGACCTGCATCTGATGCTGGATAATCTTCTTTGCAAAAGCACCTTGGACTTCTAATGCCAATAGATCTCTAGACTAACTTTGTTTTTAGTTAATTTTTTACAGAGTTAATTCTTTATGAACCTCAAAAGCTAGATTAGTCTTTCAGAAAAAAATCATTATGCTTCTCAGAAATTTTGTTAAAGAGATGCCAGCAAAAGGGTTGATAACAAGGTAGGGGATCCAAGATCTGGAGGGCTCATTCTCAGGTTCTGAAGACAAGGAGCTTTACATTTTTCTGTAAAGACCGTATCTAGGTGGTGTGTCACTAATTTTGATGAAACCATAGTATGCAAAAAGTAGGAGATTTGATCTTCCCCTTTAAAAAAAATAGAACAGTTAAAGACTCTAAAAGAACAAATCTCATTCTAGCCCATGCTCTAAGTGACCAAAATAATTTTCTAAAACACAAGCAAACCTCTGCATAAAGAGGTCTGCTGATTTCTACCATCTACAGAGTACAGTTGAAATTCCTCAGCGTGCATATAAAAGTATCTATCTTCAGACCAATATCAAACTCCAAATACTCACCTGAAATCATTTATCTTCACACCTGTTTCTCTATCAAAATCAAGAAGTGTTTAGATTTAACGTGCTATTTTGCATTTCCTTGAACTGAGATGCCCTCGTGGTCCACTCTCCTATTTTCTTCGTCATTACCATTTAGTAACTTATTTTTCTCATACTTTTATTAGAAAGGTAATAAATCTAAGAAATTCTTCTTAACTATCCCCTAAATAAACCCTGCATACCACACTTAACCTGATACATAAGTTCATCCTTCAATTTACATAAGTCCATAACTTCAATTTTACCAACATATTGTTTCTTCTTTCCCAATGTAAGAGCTTAAAGACAGCAGACTGTGTCATGGCATCTCTCTGTTGTTCAAAAACCCACACTTAGAACATAGCAGAAACACGGTATATACATAATATATAATATATATGCTGTGTATTATATATTCTATTATACATAAAATATATTATATATATATGTTACAAATAACATATATAAAGTATTGTATAAGTAACATATTATATAAATAAACAAATTAATTAGTCATGATTATTTATGCCTAGCTGTTTTATACTGAATATAGAGATTTATTTTTTAGAAGAAGATGATGGAATAAAAAAAAAATCTTGCCCTGTTTAAAAAGTGCTGGCCTAAACTACTCATTAAAACTGATATATACTATGATTTAAAACACACTAGTCAGCTTAATTATCATTTATCTTTATCCTCTATGTGCATATAAACACACACATAAACTATGAACATGTTTGTTCAGAGACAGAAGGACAAAGCAGGCCCAGGAAAAAAATGGATATATTTTATGTTCATCTGGGACATTTCTCTGAATGTGATTTTGAAAGAATATCTACTGATTCACTCATAAACCTTTTAAAATTCCACTTATATTATTTCACTTTCTCTTTATCCATATTCCTTGGAATCTTTGTTGCCCACTCAGTTTCTGGTACTCATGCAGGCTTGAGGTTTTTAATGTCTCCAAAGGACCCTGTATCTGCCTTATCCACTTAGATTTCTTTAGAGTCATGCCACTATCTTACCATGATCTGAAAATCTTCTCTACAAAGGGAATCATCAAGCACTTCCACAGCCTTCCAGCCTAAATTCAGCAAGTAAACCCCAGCCCTGTTTCACGGCTGTGTTCCAGGGGAAAAAAGATTTATGTGACAACTAGTATCTCAACCTGACTCAAGAAAGGGAGATCTTCCATGTCATCATTCCCTGGCGTCTATAATAGGAAAATGGTAGAATTTGAGCCTAGATCCTTGTATTTTGGAGCATTTGGAGACAAAGAGGAAGACACCAGAAATGCCTTCTAGTTTCCCTGTTCCACCACACAAGCTCCAGTTTTGGGTTCTTTCACCTTGATTGGCATCTTCAGCCTTTTTTCTTCCAAGATAACCCCTTTGTCATGAGATTCTCAGTAACTAGATCCCATCTGATTTTAGCAGATTTAACTGTTAAGAAAAGTTAAAAGCAAAGAAACATACAAGTAGATTAAACTGCTAGCCACACTCTTCATTCTTGGAAGAATTTTTTGTGACGTCCCTGTTTCTAAAGCAGAGAGTGCTCTATTATTTCAGTGTCTATGGATAGAAGGTAAAATCTGTTTCTGTACAAGACATTCTGCCCCTATTTGATGGCCCAGTGAGTGACCTAATGGCTGCTTTCTGTAGATCACTGAACCACAGCTAAATTTAAATTTCTTTGCTCCCCCATTCTCAACGTGCCACTTGAGAAAAGTGTGGTCTACTACCTAATCTTGTATCTTCCCCGTATAAATGGCAGTCAAAGCAGCAATGAAGAGCATATATGCAAGTCCTTCTTTCTAGAACCATCTTCCTCAAAACTCTTTTTGAGTTTTCTGTGAATGAAAATGCTATAACCACACAATTTCCAAATCCTCAAAGGAAAACGTATTTCTCAGCATTACTTTAGGACCAACTTATTATTTCTTCCTTCCCAGTGTAAGAACGTAAAGATAATAGACTGTATTATGACATCTCTCTGTTGCTCAAAAACCCACACTTAGAATATAGCAGAAACATGGCATATACATAAAATACCTGATCTAGTTAATGTATATTATATTATACATAAAATATATTATGCATGTTATATATAACTTATGTGTAAAGTACTATATAAGTATATATAAATAAGCAAATAAAATAATCATGTTTATTTATGAATTAACATGCCTTCTTTAGAGCTCCATTGTTTCCCATTTTCTTGACTTTAATTTCTGATTATAACTATGTCTTGTTCTTTTTGTGCATGGGGGAAAATATAGTAATTGCTGACTAGGATTATGGTGAGCACAACATGAGTGTGAGAGTATAAAGTATACTTATCAATAATTATTTCTATATATAGCATGATTATAGTATGCTTTTATAATCCTACATCAGGGTAAACTATTATTATTTTAATCTTGAGCCAGTTACTCTGCTTATAATCTTTTAAAAATAATGATATTATTTTGTCTGTTATTTTTTTAATGTCCCTAGAATAAGAGAAAATTTGAAGGCAACATATTGGGCTTAAATTACTACATCTTACTAACACAAAATTTGAATAAATCACTTAACTTTCCCCCAAATCAGTATTTTCATCACAATAATGGAAAAAGTAACATATACTATATATGACTGTCTTGAGTATCAAGCAATATGACTGTCTGGAGTATCAAGTTTACTTATAAAAGTAGATTTTTAAATATATTTTAATATTCACATTATTATCCTTATAGATGAGAGTTTCAACTCACAGATAATATTATTTATTGCAACATTTTTTTCCTGCCCTCTTTCTTTCCACTGGATCAGACATAGGATAAATCTACTTTTTAAAAATGGAAGAAACAGGAATTCTAATACAGACCTTCCAACTTCCAACTGGTTAGAAATCTGTCTTGAGGAAGATCCTCAGCACTCTATCTCGAATCTGCTTTGTTCTAACTCCATAGATTACAGGATTGAGGGCTGGTGGAACAACCACATATAAGTTGGCCAAAAAAATGTGGATATATTGGGGAATATTATGGCCAAAACGGTGAGTCAAAAAAGAAAAAAATGCTGGTGTGAAAAAAGCTAATATAACACCAATGTGGGAACCACAGGTGCTGAGAGCTTTTAGTCGAGCCTCCCAGGAAGGTAGACAGAAGACTGCATAGAGGATCCTGACATAGGAGAAAATAATAAGAAGTACATCCAATAATAAGAGAGAAATGTTGCCAAGACCAAACATAATGTTCACTTTGATGCTGGCACAGGCCAGACGGGCAATGCCCATGTGTTCACAATAGGTATGAGGGATGATATGGTGTCCACAGAAAGGTAGCCTTAGAAGCAGAAACACCAGTGGAACAACCATGTACATGCTCCGCAGGATAGCAATGCCTGCAATGAGGCTGATGGTTTTACTGGTGAGGATCATGGTGTACCGAAGGGGTTTGCAAATGGCAACGTAGCGGTCAAAGGCCATGGCAACCAACACGATACTCTCCATGACAGTAAAGAAGTGAATAAAGAACATTTGAGAAAGACAGCCTCCAAACGATATTTCTCTGAGACTGAACCAGAAGATGCCCAGCATTTTGGGGATGGTGGTTGTGGACAAACCCAGGTCAATGGAATCCAACATAGCCAGAAAGTAGTACATGGGCTCATGGAGACTGTGCTCAGTTTGGATCACAAACAGGACAGCAATATTCCCTAGGAAGGCAACAAGATACAAACACAAAAAAGGAAATCCAACCCAGATGTGCACATCTTCTAGCCCTGGGATGCCCAGCAGTAGAAATGAAGAAGGATGGAACTTGGTGTCATTAGACATAGACATTTTTTCTGCCACAAATGTTTTTGTGTATGCCAGATACAATTACTGACTTCCCATTAGTGATTCTTGTTCCACTTCTTCTGTTGTTTGGATTCCTAGTCAAATGCAAAACAACATTTCAGTGTCTTTATTCCTAGTCATGAAGAGGGCAAAATACTTTCTTTAGTTTTTGGTACCCTTTCCTGAGCATCATTAGCACTAGAAATGAAACCAGCCGTGCTCTACTGCCCCTCTACCTAATAACAAAGAAATGAGAGATAATTTGTGAAATTGCTTTAGGAAGAGGGGTGGAGGGGAGAGAGAAAGAGTAAACGTGAACTTCTGAAACCAGAGAAAAGAAAGTTGAAGTTCTAATTTTGTAATGTGGAGCTATCGGAGATAAAGATATAAATCTCCTTTTTTTTAATAAGTTGAGAACATATGAGGTAGGTAAAGAAATACCTTTCACAATTTATTTCATCAAATATTTATAAGGGTCCCTATGTACCGCAGTGATTAGAAAATTTGAATAAAACTGGTCACATATGCTTAAGGGGACCACTGTGTAGTTAAGAAGATTAAATTCCAAAGATGAAATTTAAAAACTCCTACAAGTACTACGGCAGAAGTATGCACAGAATGTTTTTAAGTGTAAAAGTGAGTCAAGAAACATTCAATATTATTACACAATAAAGCTTCAGACAAAAAAATAAAATAAAATGTTATTCTATATGGAGAAATGAGCAGGGGCACAGTGGGAATAAAAGCACAATGGCCAGTCAAGACATAAGAAAAAAATCTGCCATCCTTTCAATGACCAATGGCCTTATCCCAAAATTTTTATTAGGTCTGATGCCTTGGTGATACTTATTGGCTCCATACAGCAGAAACTAATAAAATAAAATATGACTATATCCCAAGGAAATCAACTTATCTCAGTTATCTCCTTGGATATTAAAGGAAGACTTGAAAATTAGTACTTCCCTTCTTTCTGGGGCATCATTTCTAAGACTGTAAACATTAATCAAAGCAATCAGTCACTTAAATTGTTATTTAAATGTATTCTGACCCATTACTTCAACATATGATGATATATCCTCCAATCTTTTCTGGGTTCAGAATAAGACTGGGTATATCAGTGTCTCATATGACCCCTTAAAGTGCTACACGGGATTATATTCAGCTATTCAGCAGCTGTTTTATGAATGTGTCTTCTTACTCCACTATTCCATCAACCTCCACCAAACCCCATATATCCATATTCCCACATGCCAGAACTGGTGACCATAAAAAGAGATGATGCACACCTTTTTTTCTCAACTTTACTTAATCTCAGAATCTCATGGCCACCCTGCTATCCACAACATTATTCCCTTTCTCAGAAACTTCATCACTAGCCCTGGGTTTTATTTTTACAAACATTTATTTCTTAGGGTTATGATTTATTTATTGATGAATTAATTAATTCAAAAGCATATGTTTATCACCTTTGCTATACCCAGTACAGTTCTAGAAATTAGAGAAAGCCACTCCTTGCTCTTTTGCTATTCACATGTGTGCATGTATATATAAGGTCAGAAAAAAATAGCACAGTTGATAGGAGATATATCCATGCGATTTCTTCCTCATCATCTTTTACCCTTTAGTTTTGCACCTACGACTTTGCATGGCCAAAGGTATAAGGATATATAGGTAAAAGCATGCCCTCAGGAGTTTAAATGTACATTCTCTCTTCATCTTGTTATCATATTTTACCTTTCCTCTATTTCTTTCTACTAACTTGGCATAAGCTCTTTCTCCAAACTTTTTGCTATTTTTTATATCCTAATAATGATATAACTTACCTTAGTGTCAAATGCCATAAAAAAATAGCTTGGCATATTCTTGGGGCACACCAATATGTTATGGTTAATAGACGTTATTTATATTTTTCTTATAGCCCTGCTTCCCCTGGGAAGGGGACCATAGATCTTGGAGACCTTGATTTAGCTTAGGCTCTGGAGAATTCTTTATTTTTATTATTATTATTTTTTAAGTCAGAGATTAACTCAGTCACCAGGCTAGAAGCAATGGCAAGATCACGCTCACAGCAACCTCGGCCTAACAAGCTCAAGTGACCCTTAGACCGTAGCCTCCCGAGTAGCTGGGACTACAAGAGCATGCCACCATACTCGGATTTTGATTTTGAGCTTTTTGTAGAGATGAGGTCTTGCTATATTGTTCTGACTTGTCTTGAACTCCTAGACCCAAGCAATTCCCCAAACTCAACCTTCCAAAGTGCTGGAATTATAGGCATGAGCCATAGTACCTGGTCAAGAATTATTTTAAATCTGTTTCTCCTTATAAAGAGACAACAAAAGAAAAGTTAGTCACTGTTCTCTTGTTTTCCCCAAATTTTCTATTTATTTACTGACACTGAGAGAATATGTTTACTATCTCACTTCAAAAATTAAATTACTAAGCTCCTAGTAAACAACAAAGATTCTTAGTGGGCTATTCATAAAAAACAATCAGCAGAAATAGTTTAATATCACAGCTTTTGAAGCAAGAATAACAATTGGAAATAACATGAGGCTGATCAAAACATCCAAAGGGGGAAAAAAATGGGAAATAAACTGATTATAAGGGACTTTGCAAAGCTCTGAAATATTTCTGAAAAGCTTTTTTTAAAAAGGAAAAAAACACACATGTATATAACTATGAAAACATCCAGAATAGACCCGAGAAAGCCCTAATCTGTCACTTCTGACTGATCTTAAAGAAACAATATCAAAATATAAAATGTGGTTCATGCTACAAGAAAATATGTGGTGTATTACAGAAGTCATTTTCACACACAGATACACACACATACAGATACACACACATACACAAAGATATGAACACAATGATGTTTCATTGTTACTTTGCAGAATATATACTTTTTAATAAAGAAAGAGAAAATTTCTCAAACAAAGTGTCTTCATGAAAAATTTACAATCACATTATTGCATGGGTCAATGCTGAATTCTCAAAGGGGGAAGTAAACATTCTCCCTAAGATATGAACAAAAGAATGCTCACTTTTACCAGTGCTATTTAACAATCTATTGAAAGTTCCAGCTAGAGCAATTAGTCAGGAAAAAGAAATACAATTATTCAAATTTTGAGGGAAAGAGCAAACTATCTCTATTTGCAGACAACATATTATACATAGAAAATTATAAAGAACCCCTAAAATCAATTAGAGCTAATGAACAGCATATTTGCACAATACAAGATTCACATACAGAAATCTGGTTGCATTTTGCTGAACATTGCTAAAGAAAACTAGTACTTTCTAGATGACAATACTCTCAAAAGTGATTTATACATCATATGTAATTTCTCGATTTTTGCAAAATCTCGATTTACTGCAGAAAAAAGAAAGTTGATTATAAAATTTACATAAAATAGCAAAAATTCTTGAATAGCCAAAACAATCTGAAAATAAAAAAAGCAAAGTTAGAAGATTCACACTTTCTTATTTTGAAACTTACTATAAAGCTATTATACTAAAAAAAAAAAAAGTGTTGTTCCAGTATTATAAAAGACATACACATGAATGGAATAAAACTGAGAGTTGAGAAATAAAACTGTATGTTTATGGTCAAGTGATTTTTGACAAAGGTGCCATGACAACTCAACAGGAAAAAGAATAGTCTCTTAAACAAATGGTACTGTGGGGATTCCAAGATGGCAACGGAGTCTTTTGGGGTATGTGAGTCTCCATATAAATAAGTGTGCAGGGATGAATATACATGCAAGTGTATCTACCAGTAGATGTATGAGAATCTGACTGAGTGGGGACATGAAGACACAAAGATGTCCCCACCACCAGTGTACTGGTACCAAATGAGTTGGGGGAATGTCTTGATCAGCATACACAGGGAGGGCTGAGCATAGGTGGATCAGTTGGGGTTGGTTCATAACCTCCTCCTGACAGCACAGTGAGCAGGGGGATCTAGAGGTTGGATGCCCCTTCTCTGCCAGGAGCCAAGAACTGGGGTGCTTTAGTCATGCCAACAAGGAACCCAAAGTTTCAGAAACTGCCACCAGTGGGTGCTCAAAGACTACAAAAGATGTCTTTTGGGGAGGGGTTGTTTTGGGCTTTTTGTTGTTTTTCTTGACTCTCTGTCTATATTTTGCTAGGTATGTGTTTTGTTTCATTCCTTCTCCTACTTCTTTTTTCATATGAGGGCATGCATGAGTGTGAAAATGTCCCCATATTGTTGGTTTTAGTTTTTTGTTTGTTTTTTTCTCGTTTTTACTAGTTTGTTGGTTGGTTGGTTGTTGGTTTTTCCTTCTCTTCTTTGTCCCTACCTTGTCCTTTCTTCTCCCTTCTCTTTTTCTCAGCTACCTTCTTTCTCTTATGTTATTTTGTACCTAGGGGATATGCAAATGTTCCCACTGCATATACATACTGCAAGGTGGTGAAAAGTAGGTTCCAGGGGGTCCACAACCTAGTAAGAAAACATTGTGAGCTGCAGGCAGCTTTTGAATCATAGCACCCCCCAACACACCTTATTCAAATCTCAGAGCTGCAAAAGGATGGCACAGCTTCCCACCCCCAACCCAGCTTCAAAACTGAACAAATATTTAGGCTTTACCAAAAGAGGAATAGGGAGGATTGAGCAAATAGAAGTGAAAGCAATCCCCTATTTTACTGAGAAATGGAAGTAAAGAAAAAGAAAAATTTGCCACAAATTAAAAGAAATCAGCAAAAAAAAACATGGGTACCTCACAAAGTCCTAAAGGATAGTGCACGAGAATACAGACATCTGAACACAAACGATGAAGAGCACCCAGATCAACTAGTCTCAGAACACAAATGCAGAGATCAAGGAATAGTTGGAAAAGATGAATAAGAACCAAGAATGGCAAGATGAAAACATGAAAGAATAAATTGCAGAGATGCAAGCTATAAATAACACAGCCAAGGAAATAAATAATAAACTGACAAGCCTGGAAAGCAGAATTAACCAAACAGGAGAAAGAATCTCAGAGCTTGAAGATCAAAATATAGAAGTAACATAAAACAGA